ATTCCAGCAATGTAAATTATATTCTGACCGGGTAATTTGTATGAATTTTATGAGCTAAAACAAATATCTTCAGTTAAAAAAAAAAATAATTCTTCACCGGGTAACAGATGGTCGGTCGGTCGGTCCCTCCCTCCCCCCACCCCCCACCCCCCACCAACCGTCCCAAGGAGATGTGTGGGATAACCACTAAATTTTAATAAATAATACCTCAAACTAAAGTTAGGATAATATAATTGACATTGCTGGATTCCTTGTAAGACCAGGAATATTTTGAATATAAATGTCATATATTTTGCACAAAAGATAACATAGTTACCTAGAGAAAAATTTTTATCTTAAAATTGTATGTTTAATGCAAAATATATGATGTTTATATTCAAAATGATCACCAAATTATAAGAATTCCAGCAATGTAAATTATATTCTGGCTGGGTAATTTGTATGAATTTTATGAGCTAAAACAGGCAGTCAGGCAGGGTGGCGGGTGGGGCAAATCTAAAAATAGTGTCTCGAGCCGGACACTCACCGCGTATATGTGGAAAAAATCCGTGTTAAGTGAAAGTTCAGCTCTGGCGAGGCACCGCGTATATGATAAAACGCGTTAAGTGAAACACGTTGAAGTGAGAATGCTATGTAACATATATATATGTATGTATATATATATATATATATGTATGTATATATATATTTATATATGTATGTATATATATATATATGTATGTATATATATATATATGTATGTATATATATATATATATATATGTATGTATATATATATATATGTATGTATATATATATATATATATATATATATATATATATATATATATATATATATATATATATATATATATATATATATATATATATATATATATATGTATATATATATATATATATATATATATATATATATATATGTATATATATATGTATATATATATATATATATATATATATATATATTATATATATATAAAGTAACCTCACTTTACGCGTTAATGTAATCTGGAGGGTCCTGCAGAAGTGAGAAACGCGTAGAGTGACATAACATATGGGATTAATTGAAATGGAGTCCGGGCCGATCCCCAAACTCCACTTTTTGACGACACACAACTATGTTGTAGTAAAAATATTATCTTAACTTTATGATGGTATGCACACACAATTAATAATTAAGAGAAATATCAATAATATTAGGTTTTTTAACACTTACATTAGTAGAAAATGGCTGGGCACACGGGATGGGCGTTGGTTCCGAGGCAGAGGGGCAGATTATTCTCACCTGTGTCACCTTGTATCAATTGTATCACTATCCACCACAGAGGCTTGCAGGGCCTTGTCAAACTCCCCAAAGTCCATATAAGTCCATATCCTCACCATAATTATCACTATCACTGACTTGGGCCAGCTGTGGTGTGGCGGTGAAGAACTGGTAATGTTTTGATGACTGGGCTTACTTAGGCGCACTACAATTCAAGAAGCTATACAAAATATGGCGGATGGCGGAGGTTGATCCAAATGGCGCTGCTCGCAGCTCTCCACGTAATGGGGCATACGCATTACCGAAATGCAGCATCCTGGGTTCCGCAGGGCACCGCCAGAACGGAAAACGCGAATGCGGACCGGTAGTGAGGTTAATCTATATATATATATATATATATATATATATATATATATATATATATATATATATATATATATATATATATATATATATATATATATATAATATACACAGTTGTACCTCACGAACGTCAATTGAACCAGAGGTCTCACAGAATAATCTGTTATTCTAGCCACCTCCAAACTCCACTTTTTGAAGACATATATGTTGTAGTAAATATCTTAATTTTATGATGGTACATGCACACAATTACTTAAGAGAAATAATACAGTCGCTGAAAGTTAATGTCCATTCAAATAATGGACTCAATTCACTCTCCCTCTCTCACACTACACTGCTTTCCTCTCAGAGAAATTTTTGGGGAAAACCACTAATTTAATAATACTATAGTTAGGATATTGCTTGGATACAAGGATTCCTTGTAAGACCAGGAATATTTTGAATATAAATGTCATATATTTTTCACAAAAGATAACATAATTACCTGGAGAACAATTTTTATCTAAAAATTGTATGTTTAATGCAAAATATATGTTGTTTATATTCAAAATGATCACCAAATTATAAGAATTCCAGCAATGTAAATTATATTCTGGCCAGATAATTTGTATGAATTTTATGAGCTAAAACAAATATCTACAGTTAATAAAAAAAAAAATATTCTTCAACACTATCTGTCAATCAAAGTACCCCACCTTGCCTTCCCCCCTTCTTCCAACCGCGCGGTCAGTCCCAACCCTCCCCCCACCCCCCACCAATCCTCCATTCAAGAGTTTTTAACATTTAGTATTAAATAATACCTCAGATTAAAGTTAGGATAATATAATTGACATTGCTGGATTCCTTGTAAGACCAGGAATATTTTGAATATAAATGTCATATATTTTGCACAAAAGATAACATAGTTAATTTGAGAAAAAATTTTATCTAAAATTTGTATGTCTAATGCAAAAATATGATGTTTATATTCAAAATGATCATCAAATTATAAGAATTCCAGCAATGTAAATTATATTCAGACCGGGTAATTTGTATGAATTTTATGAGCTAAAACAGGCAGTCAGGCAGGGTGGGGCAAATCTAAAAATAGCATCTCGAGCCGGACACTCACCGCGTATATGTGGAAAAAATCCGTGTTAAGTGAAAGTTCAGCTCTGGCGAGGCACCGCGTATATGATAAAACGCGTTAAGTGAAACCACGTTAGGCGGGGTAATACTGTATATATATATATATATATATATATATATATATATATATATATATATATATATATATATATATATATATATATATATATATATATATATATATATATATATATATATATAACATATATATATATATATATATATATATATATATATATATATATAAATAAATCACTGTGATGTAGGCATTAAAGTATATACTGATAGCCACAAGGAAAGAAACATATATATATATATATATATATATATATATACACACACGTGTACCCTTTTGCGGTTTCACTTTCCGCGATTTCTCATTTACGCGGTACCTTGCCAGAACCGAACTTTCACTTTCCGCGGTGCATCCACTCATATACGCGGTGAAGTATAATTTTTTTTTTTATTTAGCTCATAAAATTCATACAAATTACCCGGCCAGAATATAATTTACATTGCTGGAATTCTTGCAATATGATGATCATTTTGAATATAAACATCATGGATTTTGCATTAGACATACAAATTTTAGATCTAATGTAATAATTTGGTTTACACAAAGCAAATATTTTATCTTTTGTGCAAAATATATGAAGTTTACATTCAAAATATTCCCTGACCTGCAAGGAATCCAGAAATGTCAATTATATTATCCTAATTTTAGTCTGAGGTATTATTAAATACTAAAAGTTAAAATCTAGTTCTTTCACCCAACATTTCTCTGGTAGGGAGGGAAGATGGGGGGGTGGGGGGGAGGGTTGGGACCGACCGACCATCTGGCACGGTTGGAAGAGGGGGGAGGCAAGTTGGGGTACTTTGATTGACAGATAGTGTCGTGAAGAATATTTTTTTTTTATTAACTGAAGATATTTGTTTTAGCTCATAAAATTCATACAAATTACTGGACCAGAATATAATTTACATTGCTGGAATTCTTACAATATGATGATCATTTTGAATATAAACATCATGGATTTTGCATTAGACATACAAATTTTAGATCCAATGTAATAATTTGGTTTACACAAAGCAAATATTTTATCTTTTGTGCAAAATATATGAAGTTTACATTCAAAATATTCCCTGACCTGCAAGGAATCCAGAAATGTCAATTATATTATCCTAACTTTAGTCTGAGGTATTATTTATTACTAAACGTTAAAATCTATTGTTTCACCCTATCATTTCTCAGAGAGGTAGGGGCCAGTGAGCTGGGAAGAGGGGGGGGGGCGGGATTTGAGTCCATTATTTGAATGGACATTAACCTGGCGACTGTATTTCTCTTAAATATCAATTGTGTGAGCATACCATCATAAAATTTAGATGTTATTTTTACTACAACATAGGTATTGTGTCGGAAAAACTGGAGTTTGGGGGGTCGGGCCAGTCTCTATTGGAATTAATCCCATATGTTCTCTTGTTCACTTTACTCGGTTTTCACTTTCCGCGGTACCCTGTGGGTTCAATTGACCGCGTAAATCGGGGTACTACTGTATATATATATATATATATATATATATATATATATATATATATATATATATATATATATATATATATATATATATATATATATATATATATATATATATATATATATATACACACAGTATATATACGTACATATATACACTCTTACTCTTAAATCACTACTGTAATGTGATACAGATGATTCATTTTTATTTCTTGTGCAAAATATATGATGTTTATATTTAAATTATTCGCTGTCTCTCAAGGATTCCAGCAATGGAAATTATATTCTCCTAACTTTAGTTTGAGATATTATATAAGATAAAAACTGTAAGCCTAAAACCCTGGCTGGGCAGATGGGGAGAGGGAGGGAGGGATGGAATGTGGGGGGATGAGGTGAGGTGGTACGTTTGACAGTTGGCGCCCAAGGTCTAATGTGTGTTTATTTAGCAGTCCTTAAGTGACTAAGCTTCTCCCCCCCCCTCCTTTTCCCATAGATTTATTTTTATTTTTTTAGCTTTTTCTGGATGGGTGTGTTGTAATTAGTCATGTATATGGAGTTACTACTGTAATTTTAACCTCTAAATTAATAGGGAAATGTAATTATATCAATAGATAACAACAACCTCATTAAACAAAGAGATAATTGGCAGCTTACATACTGTACAACACAAGTGCCTGATCATAATTTGAGAATAATCATTATCTGTTGCAGGATATTCCATGTATGACCTGGAGCAAGTTGTCAAAATTCCTGTACTTGTGGAAGACACCAAGCGGAAAGTGGCAGAGGAGAGGAATAAACTCATCCACAGCATGACACAGACAGACTGCCTCTTCCAGCAGGTAAGTCAGTCACTGGTATGTGGCTAAGGCAGTGTTGTGACAGAGTATTTTACAGGCAGCCCTCAATTTATCAATACATTTTTTTTAAAAATTGAACCTTAACTTAAAGTGAGGATGCCATTTCAGGGGCTTTTAGGGGGCTCTGTACAGATTTAGAGCTGTGAGTGTACAGTACAGTAGAGTAGTTCATTTAATGCAGTGGTTCCCAGCCTCTGTGTAATTATCCTTTTGTGGGTAACTTGGTATTTTCGAAGCAGTAATAGACATTGACAATCCATGATTCTTTTGGTATGATAAGAAAGGTACAGTTGCCTGCACATATACCTGGTACAGTGGCTGGCACATTTTGTGTGATGTGACAACTCTGTGTTTGTTTACATCATATTAAAACTCCAAGAATAACCTTAGGGAATGTTGCAATAGTAGCCAGACTAAAGATGCTAGAGAAACATTCCTTACATCTCATTACATGCACCAGCCACTGTACCAGGTATGAGTGCAGGCAACTGTACAGTAACAGTCAAAAGTAATTAACGCTACTGCTAATCTAGTACAGTATGTTGAAGAGCAGAATGATAGAAATAATGTAATCAATTTAGTTAAGGAACTATATACCGTATATACCCGTGTATAGCACGAGTTCTTAAGACCAAATTTTTGGGCAAAAAGTTGGGGGTCGACCTCTATACGGGTAATAGTTTCGTTAGGTTGAAAAAAATTTACCAGTAACTACCAGTAAACAATGGAAACGATGCACCAACGCACCACCCGCTGTGAGTGTCGGTACAGTTGCCAGGGCAGATCTCTTGCGTCATCATAGCAAGCCCAAAGTAGCCAAATGCATGGTATGGTATGCACAGGAGTATGTAAAACATAAAGTATTCATTTTTAAAAGTGTATTTATAGATACATAAATTTTTGTTAATTAAATTTGAAACATCAATATGATGTGAGTCAGGTCATCTACACACAGTTGCCAGTTTCAAAATTTTCCTTTTAAAATTTTAAGTTACCGAGTATTTCTTTTCCCAAATCGTTTTACAATACTGTAGGTAAAACAGTATACTATTGTGCAAACCCCACAGAAAAAAAATTAACAAATGGAGACACCAAAAATGTAAAAAAAAAAAATGCTGTCTGACTTGCAACACTGTTGGTAGGGTCAGGTGGTTCTAACGGTACCTGCCAGGACCCGGTAATCAAATTTATAACAATATCTAACCTCAATTACTGTAGTTTATCTGATGTAGGCAATATGAAGTAAAAAATACCAGTTAAAGTGAGAAATTGGAAGAGAATAAACAAGAAAGATGTTGGGCTATTTTTGGTAGGGCTGAGGGAGAGAGTACCAGCTGTTTGGTCTTTTTTGGCGGGAGAGTCACGCAAATATCCGTACTAGTATTTGTTTGGTGTCTTCTGTATTTTTAAAAATGAATACTTCTAAATTAAAAGTACCGTAACATTGTATTATATAAAAACTTGTCATATTTCTGGAAAATAAGAAGCAAGAAAATAAGAATACACCGGTAAACACAATTTCAACGTACGCTAAAATTAAAAGCTGCTTAAGAAGGGCCGATGCAAACACAAAGCCTCCACGACCAGGGCTCTGCCGTATCAGCTAGACGGTACACGTGTTTTTCGAATCGTTTTCAGTTAAAAAACTTTTACATCACAAGTGAATTAGGATAGAATATTATTGTAATATAACAGTTTTTAACTGAAAACCATTCAAAAGGCGATTACGGTAACATCTTGTGAACGAAAGAAAGCGAGTCATTGTTTTTGTCACGATTTTATCCCACTTTCCACTATAATACGTACGTCATTTCAGCAAAAATATTACATTTCCATATTCTCAGAAATAAATAGTAGTTTTGCTGAAACGTGATGTATTTCAATGTAAATTAGGATAAACTACATGCAGAAAACAAAAGACTACCTAACCTTCCGATGTTCAAGATATGTTACTCGTATTTTTAATAGTTTTCGGTTAAAATACTGTTATATTAGTGATATTCTATTCATACTGTGGTTGATATAATACCTTCACGGAAATGTAATATTTTTTGCTGAAATGACATACGTATTACAGTGGAAAGTGGGATAAAATTGTGATGAAAACAATGACTTTCGCTTTGTTTCGTTCAAAAGATGTTACCGTAATCACTTTTCGAATGGTTTAGTTAAAAAACTGTTGTATTGTATTACAATAATATCCTAATTGACTTGAATAAATATTACGATACCATATTTCTGAATATTTTCATTAAAATCCATCAAAATCATTTTCCTTGTCATCGTCTGCAGCACCAAACAGCTTCTCCCAGTCCTCTCCTTGAACAGGGCTAGAGGGTAACGTGTTTTTCGAATCGTTTTCAGTTAAAAAACTATTACATCACACGTATATTTTACCTAAACTGTGCCTGAATGAATATATTCTCGGAAATAAATAGTAGTTTTGCTGAAACGTGATGTATTTCAATGTAAAATAGGATAAAATACATGGCGAAAACAAAAGACTTCACCTAAGCTTCCGATGTTCTTGAGATGTTATTCGTTTTTTTAATAGTTTTCGGTTAAAATTCTGTTATATTACAATGATATTCTATTCATACTGTGCTTGATATACTACATTCACGGAAATGTAATATTTTTTCCTGAAATTACGTACGTATTACAGTGGAAAGTGGGATAAAATCGTGACGAAAACAATGACTCGCTTTCTTTCGTTCAAAAGATGTTACCGTAATCGCTTTTCGAATGGTTTAGTTAAAAAACTGTTGTATTACAATAATATTCCCTCCTAATTGACTTGAATAAATACTTGAATGGAAATATACAATATTTTTGTTGAAACTACCTGCGTTTCAGTGTAAAGTGTCGTAATAATAAATGGTAAACAAGTTTATAGGACGTAGAGTTTTTCTGAAGGTTTTGTTGTTCCATTACCCTCAAAATCTTGGGTCGACCTATAAACGAGGAATATCATAAATTAACGATTTCTTGGTCATAAAATCGGGGTCGACCTATATACGAAGGGGGGTTATAGACGAGTATATACGGTATATATATATATATATATATATGTATATATATATATATATATATATACATATATATATATATATATATATATATATATATATATATATATATATATATATATATATATATATATATATATATATATATATATATATATATATATAAAATATGCAAGTAAATCACTGTAGGTGCGAATGATCCAGGTATATGCTGATAACCACAAGGAAAAAGAAAACACGAAGTTCCCAAGCGCTTTCGTGAAATTCACATGTATTTCTCCTTAGTCTATACTCACCCCTGAAGATGTGAATTACACGAAAGCGCTTGGGAACTTTGTGTTTTCTTTCTTGGTTATCAGCATATATATATATATATATATATATATATATATATATATATATATATATATATAACATATATATATATATATATATATATATATATATATATATATATATATATATATATATATATATATATATATATATATATATATATATATATATACATACATATATATACAGTTGTACCCCGCTTAATGCGGGTCAATTGAACCCACAGGTACCACGTTAAGTGAAAACCGCGTTAAGTGAACAACAGAACATATGGGATTAATTCCAATAGAGACTGGCCCGACCCCAAACTCCACTTTTTGACGACACACAACTATGTTCTAGTAAAAATAACATCTTAATTTTATGATGGTACATGCACACAATTAATACTTAAGAGAAATACAGTCGCCAAGTTAATGTCCATTCAAATAATGGACTCGACTCCCTCCCCCTTTTCTCACACTACACTGCTGGCTCTTCCCTCTCTGAGAAATTTTTTGGGGAAAACCACTAGATTTTAATAAATAATACCTCAAACTAAAGTTAGGATAATATAATTGACATTGCTGGATTCCTTGTAAGACCAGGAATATTTTGAATATAAATGTCATATATTTTGCACAAAAGATAACATATTTACTCAGAGTAAACATTATATCTAAAATTTGTATGTCTAATGCAAAATCTATGATGTTTATATTCAAAATTATCATCATATTGTAAGAATTCCAGCAATGTAAATTTTATTCTGGCCGGGTAATTTGTATGAATTTTATGAGCTAAATAAAATAAAAAAAATATTATACTTCACCGCGTATATGAGTAGATGAACCGCATTAAGTGAAAGTTTGGTTCTGGCGAGGCACTGCGTATATGAGAAATCGCGTTAAGTGAAACCGCGTTAAGGGGGGTACTACTGTATATATATATACAGAAATACCCCGCTTAACACGGTTTCGCTTAGCGCGATTTCACGTATACGCGGTTCCTCACCAGAGCTGATCTTTCACTTAACGGGGTTTTTTTCCACGTATACGCGCAGAGTGTCCGGCTCAGAGCTATTTTTAGATTCCCCCCACCCGCCACCCTGCCTGACTGACTGCCTGCCTGCCTGCCTGCCTGCCTGCCTGCCTGCCTGCCTGCCTGCCTGCCTGCCTGCCTGCCTGCCTGCCTGCCTGCCTGAGCTCATAAAATTCATACAAATTACCCGGCCAGAATATAATTTACATTGCTGGAATTCTTACAATATGATGATCATTTTGATAAACATCATAGATTTTGCATTAGACATACAAATTTTTAGATATAATGTTTACTCTGAGTAAATATGTTATCTTTTGTGCAAAATATATGACATTTGTATTCAAAATATTCCTGGTCTTACAAGGAATCCAGCAATGTCAATTATATTATCCTAACTTTAGTTTGAGGTATTATTTATTACTATACCTGGTTTTCCTCCCAAAATTTCTCAGGAGAGGGATGAGCCAGCGAGTTTAGTGTGAGAAGAGGGGGAGGGAGTTGAGTCCATTATTTGAATGGACATTAACTTGGCAACTGTATTTCTCTATTTCTCTTAAGTATTAATTGTGTGCATGTACCATCATAAAATTAAGA